CTCTCTCTGTGTGTGTGTGTGTGTGTGTGTGTGTGTGTGTGTGTGTGTGTGTGTGTGTGTGTGTGTGTGTGTGTGTGTGTGTGTGCACGCGCAGTTGTTCTGGTGATAATCTTACACACACACACACACACACACACACACACATTAGCCCATATAACACCCCTTTCATCAACTATGTTATACATATCACCCCTGGCCATTTGCTATACTGTTCATAACCTTCACATGTCTGCTTACTGATGACTGTAGGTATAGATACTGACCACCTTTTTTAGAGAAGCATTTTAATAAAATGATCTCATACTCAGAAACATAAATTATGCCATTACGAAGAGTATGCCCTACAAACTGCAGCAGCAAGTGGCGAAAAGCACTTTAGGGAATGCACCACCCCTCTGAGATGGTTACTATACCATCTCACTGATGGCTACTATGCTATCCCTGCTCCTTTCACCATCCCCCCACCTCTCTTGAGGCTACTATGGTATGCCTTACTAAAGTCGTCTCATCTCCCTCTTTTTGCTTTGAGGAATGCTGCTCCTTGATTTGGTATAAGTCTGTGTAGGATGCAATGGAATGAATGTGTTGAGATGAATGTATGGTGTGTATAAAATCTGCTTATGTTTGCAATGTTGGTGTCTGCTGGCAAGATATTGTTCCTTTAAGTGCGTGTCTGTCACCTGTTCATGGCTATTGACCGGATCGTGACTATGCATCTGTGCGAATGCGAACGATTGTGAGTCAAATCTTCCACTCTTGATTCAGACATTGTTTGGAGAGATCATATGCTTCAGAACAAATGAGGATCATTCTATCGTTGCCTTCCAAGCGCGAAAGTCAATGGGTCTGAAAATCGCAATTGCTCCGTCCGGGGATCGAACCTGCAACCTGGTGATTGAATATCAGAACGCTTACGACAAGGCGAAGTGCAGTGAGATGGGATGAAACTCCAACTGAAGCTCGCAGATGCGGATTTCAGCCCACCCCAGAGAAGACATTGACCTGGTGTATGCAGACGCAACTCCCACCAAGTAGCACTCCCTGTGCCCTGAGCTCAAGGGGGGGTTGCATGCTGACCAACCCGGTTACAATTCCCCGGATGCTCCAAGCATGCGCTGCATGAAAGCTCATTCTATCATTGCCCTCCAAGCGCGAAATTCAATCGGTCTGAAAATTGCAATTGCTTGCTCCCTCCCGACATCGAACCTGCAACCTGCTGATTGAAAATCGGAACACTTACCGCAAGGCGAAGTGCAGTGAGCTGGAATGAAACTGAAGCTCGCAGATGTGAATTTCAGCCCGCCCCAGCATGGTCAGTACATCACATACCACCATGACCCGGTGTGCCCAGACACACAAGTCCAACCAAGTAGCCCTCCTTGTGCCCTAAGCTCAAGGGGGTTTGCATGCCGACCAACGAGATTACTGGGACGAGCAACGATCATTGCCATTCTCGCTTATTTGAATCCCGCTCGTAATTGTCATCAACCTATAGAATGTGAAGGAAATGGGCAGTAGATGAAGTATGGGCATATTCCTGTCCCTTTCATGTGGATATGTTGCTGCACTGGAAAGCGCAGAGGCCAAATCGGCACACATGCAGAGGCAGGTGGATGTGTAGACACCTAGCACTCACCTTGAACGAACATGGCTAGCCTTGCAGCTAGCAAATTTGCAGCGAAAAACATCACAGTCATTTTGAATATATTCACTCGGGAAGACTGGTTCATTTATGATTTCTATGCATGCACGTGGAAAACAGGTTGCTGTGGTTATTTGTAATACGCACCGTGATCGGTTGGGATTGCTTTGCCATGGGAGTCGGGACGCACATGAGGAGGCAGAGAGTGTGTACTGTGGATTTATTTGCCGTGGGAGTCGGGACACACATGAGGAGGCAGAAAGTGTGTACTGTGCTTCAAATGTCTACAGGCAGTTTGTTCAGGAGCACATGGAGGTATAACCATGGTGCCTTGAGGAATAGTGCTCATGGTGTCTCGCGGGTCACATGGTGTGAGGATGACTTTGTTTGAATGGGGTTGTTGCTACGTCTGGGTCTGGGAGAGTCTGTGGGCTCTGAGATGTCTCTTGACGGGCCTGAAGAGTCCATGCTGTGGGTCAGGCTCCCATCCTGTGCACATTTCGAAGCTCATCGGTGGTGAAGCTTCTGATGCGGTATGTGTGTTCTTGCCTGATGCTTCAAGTCATGGGTCCAGTTGTTTCCTTTTCCCTGTGGGGATATGCCCTGTTAGTCGAAGGAGTGGTGTGGATGTGATATTGGGTGTTTCATTGGTGATAGCATCTGTTGGTTTAGATTTTCTCTTAAAAATTAAAATTATATCTGGGGACTGGAACACCTGTGTGCAGACTTGAGTGTTAACTGTGGGGCTGTGGGTGTAGTGCTTATGTATTCTCTTTGTGTTTGGAGTCTTTTGGACCACATGCATGGTGGACTAGGGTGCTCTTTCTGTCGGTGGTGCTTGTGTCACATCGGGTTTTAGGGCCTCTTATCTTCAACAAGAGAGAGTGTATATCTGTTTGGTAGGCTCTTGCTTGAGCTCTCGCTGTTGGAGCTTGAAACAAGGCCAGCTTGAAATCAGCCCATGGACATTGGTGGGGTGCCATTTTGCGTATTCGTGTTTCGATCATGCAAGCATTTAATGATTTAACAGATGGATCTGTGTGTGCTTCTAGTTTTGCCACACACACATCAGAACCCTGCAGTCTGGTGTTTTCAAGAAAAAAGAGAATGCGTTCAGTGGGGTTGAACTTGGTGACTTTTCGGAGAAAGACATACCACTGTATAGACTCGTTCTTATGACGCGAGTCTACATCGCAAGTGCGGGTCTTACAGATGGATGTATATTTAATTTGGT